CTCCAGGAAAAAAATAAAAATAAAATAAAAATAAGAATAAAATAGTTGTTTTGGCCCTACCTGTACATTCAGTCGGTTTTATTTACGCTGCCTGGAGAGAGAGAGACAGAGAACATAACGATGTGACAGTTCTGCCAAACTACCCCTCTTCGGTCTCAGCTGTTCTACTCAGAAGAGCACCAGAAAGAAAAAGTTACAGCAACTTTCACACATTCACATTCATTTTTAGAACCATCACCCAAAGACCCAAAAAAAAAAAAAACCCAAACAGTTATCAACTTTGTATTTTATAAGATACAGGGAAAAAAGAAGATTTTTAAAAAATTTTTACGGAAAGCAAAGTTACCAAAAATATATTTTTGACCATACCTCCTTTAATTTTTTTTTTTTTCAGAAAGACGGTCTCAACTGGTTATAAAGAAAATTATTTCTTCAGCCACACAGTTCTGCATTTTATTTTTATTTAAAATAAAAACTTACAACAACGCTAAAAAAAAAAAAGAAAGAAAGAAAGAAAGGAAAAAAAAAAACCCAAACCAAAGCCAGGTTTTGGCCGCTGGGCTCCCTCCCCCGAACTGACACTTTATGAAAACCTTCTGTACTTTTTTTTCCCCCCCGCCTCCCTCCCGCTCTCTCTCCCTCTCTACTACCTCCAAGATGGTAGAAAAGTTTTTGTTTTGGAGGGCAGAGGAGCCGCTCTCTGATGTTATGTCCTCGCGGTGCCTGTAGTGGTGCTGTAGGAGGCTGCTGGCTCTCTTCTCCAGCAGCCCCGGCAGCCCTGCCTTCCTCGCTGGAGAATATATTCAGGGATTCCCCTTTAATAATCACCTACCCTCCGAGCACTTTGTAGTTTTAAAAAAACAAAGAGCCCCCCAAAAGCTTCCTCCCCACGAAAAGCGGGATCTCCTCAGAGCCAGGGGGGCAGCCGCTCCTCAGCGCAGAGCCCGAGCCCATTCCCGGTCCCTCTGCTGGGGAGGAAACTCCGATCTGTCAGCCCAACAGAGGGAAAGGGGGGAGAGCGGAGAGAGGAGGAAAAAAAAAGCAGCTGGAAAGGTAAGCCAGGCCCGGCCTGCATCCCCGGGCTCGCGTAGCGCGGCAGGCGGCGCGGGGGGT